ACGCATGCCAATCGGTACAGGAAGTGACACTTTATACTCGTCCCGAGCATACACCGTGCCCATATTATCTAACACAAATGTTGTATACCCGTATACGCGTATGTATTACACAAGGTACTCCAAGGGATTCGGAAGTGCAAGGCAGCACATAGTCGGCGAGTAAAAAGCACTCGACCGTAAATTGCGTCAGGTGACGTTAGCACGAAGAAACGCATACGTGGCGCAGGAAAAGGTCACGGGACAATGCGAAAAAAAAGGATCGGAATTTCAACAAAGAAAAATCATTGCTCTTTAACGTACTGTAAATGGGGAGGAAAAAATAATTCTACGATCCCCTTGCACAACACGTATACAGATACATAAAAACGTATCTTCGCTCAGTTAAGCCATCGAGACACGTAAGGAAAAAATAAACACATAACATTTAGACTGATTCGTATCATGGACTGACTTACCGTTATATGAAATACACAAGCGAACGTGACTATCAAAATGAAAAAAAAAGATGATCCCTATATCTCTGGCAAGAGAGTAATAGAAAAAAAGGTCCTGTTATTGCGCGAAAGACTGGTCCAACATATTAGATGGTGTTTACCGTACGACGGTAGCCCAGAATAGGAATATAAGAGTTGGTTAGCCAGGCCATAACATGGTTCAGGGGATGACAGTGAAAGCCAGAGTAAGTGTCAGAGAAGAGTATATACATGGAATAATACAAGCAATGTACCTATAGTGGACGATATCATCCTCCCGAATGAGATATCCCATACAGGATAGAGGGCGTTCATTTCGGATTCAGATGGAATAAGAAAAAGGAGAAGACCAAAGTCAGGATATCCCGGCTGCCGTCAGGACGTGTAAAAGTTTTGCTCCGGTACAGAGGCAGCGATGCCTGGTGCCGGTGTGGTGGTGACTGCCGGGCCGATAGGTGCCCTTTTTCTAGTAGCGGTAGGTGGCAGCATCCCAAGGAGGTTTAGGGCGCCCTAAGAGAGGAGGACGAAGATACTGCGACCGGAAGAAGAGTGTAGAGGAAAGACGACGTGGGGGTATGGCTGCCGTGGAGTACGGCAGAGAGTAAAGGAACTTGGGGCGAACATAACCTACAGCGACACGGGCCGAGACAGGAGCGGTGGAGAGAGAAAGAGAGCGAAAGACAGCTAGGAAGAGATAGAGAAAGAGGGAAGGTGCGTGGGAGAAAGTGAGAGAGTGAGAGAGTGAGAGACAGTGCCGTAGTCGAGAAATACGATTGGTGGGGATATTGATCTTCCCAGGGAGTTGCCATGTGAAGCGTGTGGTTCGCACGAGCGACTTTACTTCCTCTTCGTCTTCCTCCGTTTTCTCTCTCTCTCTCTCTCTCTCTCTCTCTATTTCGCTCTTCCTCCACCTATTCTTCCTCCTCACCGGTACGGCCTCTTTGCTCCACTTGCGAAATCCTTCGTCCGCCGTTGACACGCGGGACTTGGGGATACTGAAAGAATTCTTGTCCCACGTCAAACATCCCAGGAATCGGCTGGGCAACGTTTAGCCAAAAAGTTACGGCGGGTTTAACAGTCGTTAAAGATTAAATACCGAGAACGGTATCATTCTTGGGTCAATATTATCTGTACGTGTAGAGGTATACGACCTGGGCTTCTATCGTTTCATTCTTCATTTTTATGACCCAACCCAGACCCGCTGACACGTTACGTACCTACACAAACCTAGTGGCCGTGCCTAAAGACCTTCGTACACGGTGTCCAATGGGTGTTGGTGCAGATACGGAGCTTCCCCGTGAAACTTTTGCAGAAGTTTCCCTAGAGATTTTCACAGATACCTACCCACTTTTCTGACTAGCTCGGCACGTGTGTTGAAGCAAAATATCGGCCACTTTTACCATAGCATCCTTCAATTCTCTCTTTTCTCCCTTTACCCTCGTCCCTTTACTACTTCCGGCCAGTAATACAGATCCACCCCTATATTTGTCTCTTGCCCTATACGAAACAGAAGAAAAAAATCTCTACCCCATTCTCACGATTATTCGTTGTCTCTTACGACCCTCCTCTGCAATTTATCCCCCGATGCCATTAAATGCTACGTGAAAACTCCGAAGTCTAGCTCTTCTTTCGTTTTACTCTAAAAAACAAGAAAGTTCCAAGCACGCAAATGTACTATAGTCAACCGGATAGTATGTTTAAGATTTGAACAGTGGTAAAGGAGTAAAGGACCCTCCGATGAGTACGTCTGAAGAGTTTACATTCCCACTAGGCTTAGGGGTTCACCTCTGCGACGAGAGCGGATTGGCGGAACAGGTCAATGCTGGAGGCCGGATATAGTATGAAAAGGTTATGAAGATAATGGGAGTGCTGGGTTATTTGGGGATGGCGAGTGAATGTTATTACAAGAAATAATTAATTAACGAATTTGCACAACGTCCGGGCAAATGGCCAGGTGTGAGTTAGTCAAAGTTTTACGTTAATTACACATCGCGTTCGAACCCGCCGGTTAAACGTTAACTCAGTTCGCGAATAAACTTGGGTACAGGCTAATCCAATCTGCGGACGAACCAGCCGCGGATCCGCGTACCTAACGCTAACTTCGTGTCAGAATAAACGTAGTTGGTGGAAGCCGAGTAAGAGATAGAAAGAGAGAGAGGGGACGAGCCACGTGTTAAAGTCGAGACGCCGTACTACGCGACACAGCCAAATATGCGATTCCGCGGTGTCTGCGACGGAAGCAAAAGGGGAGCCAGAGCCATCGTATACGAGAAGAGCCAAATTTACGAAGGTACCACCAAAATTTAGTAGAGAAATGAAAAAGAGCGCTATGGGTCCC